TTGTCTGGAAGCCCGAGCCCATGGTCATGTGTCCACTGTGGCCGTGTCTGCCACCCTGCACCTCTGCTGCCGCCAAGTGACTGCATCTCTGAATCCAGTACATCCTCAGAGTCCAGGCCAAGCCCCCGCTCCTGTTCCCAGGAACAAGCTCCCTCTCCATTCGGTCCAACAGCCTCCTCTGCTGAGGATGACTGATGGGGAGAAGTTTACTCCCTTGCCTTGGGAAGACCACATTAGAACATAAGCCAGTTTCCATGCAAAAATAAAAAACAAACAAACGAAAACAAAACCTACCTAGCAGGAGAGGAATTGTCTTACGGAAGCCCTCTTGATCACTGCCTAACCAGTTCTGATTGTCATCCTCAACAGAAAACACCTCACCTTAGTTAATAGGAAGAACAGAACTCCATTTGAGGAAGAATCATGGAAACAATTCTGTCCTTCTGTTAAGTGGCAAGCATTTGTATCCATAGGCTATTAGATCTAAAGGGATGGTAGAGCTTATTTAGTGAGGCGTAGGTCCCCCAGTTTGCAGCCAGGAAACCGAGGCCCAGAAAGGGAAAGTGGTTTTCGTAATGTTGGCTAGTGGCAAAGGTGAAATTAGAATCCAGCTCTTCTGATTCCTAGTCTAATACTTTTTAAAATATTGATGCAAAGCATGTAGCCGAGTACAGAGATTGTTGTATGATAAGCCTTAATTCAAATAGACGCCAGGTCACAGCAACGTGGAAGAACATGCCTTGATCATGAGCAAATCCAAAATGACAATAAAGATCTTCCGAACGAAGGGCTCTCCCTCGTACTTGTGGGCAGCAGAGGGAAAATATTTCAGGGCTTCCCTAATGCTGGTCACTCCTACCTCCTGGACCCCACTTAAATTGATCCACGTGTCATGCTTATCTGCCTCCACTCTCGTCAACCTAGTCAGCATCATTTCATCATCCAAATCCACTCTTATCTCAGCACAAAGTCCCAGATCCTCCACACAGATCAGAAGGGTCTGTGTGTCCTGGTTTCTTTCTTTCCAGCTTCACTGTCTTTCCCTCTTCCCTCGGGCTCTGCCGCAGCCTGGCACGCAGGGGCTCTCAGATAGGCCTATGCTTGTGCTCTCTTGCGCTCTGTCTCTGAGCTCTGCCTAGAAAACTTTTTCTCCATCCCACTTACACCAGTGGTTCTCAAACAGGGGTAATTCCACCCCTCCAGGAGATACTCGGCAATTATCACAACTAGCGGTTGTCACACCTGGCAAGGAGTGAGGTGAGGCCAGGGGAGCTGTTAAACATCCTACGATATGCAAGACACCCTGCCATAATGAAAACTATCCAGCCCAAAATGTTAATGTGCTGAGCTTGAGAAACCCTCAGTCTTTAGATCCCAGCTAAAATACCACTTCTCCCAAGAAGGCCTCCCATGATACTTTAGATTAGGATGAGCTGCCCCCCATGTGCTCCCAATCTGCCCCCCTCCTTCACAGCACTCGCCCCACGTAAACGTGTGAGATGACGGACGCCTGCCCTCCCCACCAGTCTGTCAGCCCCAGGAGGGCGGGGTGGAGGGTTGGCTCATGTCCTGATCCCACTGTCCTCACGGTGCCCAGCACAGTCAGGCATCACTTTTTGCCGTGTTCGCCTTGGAACACAGAAGAAGAAAGTTTCCACAGATGAACTGTCTTTCTCCCCAGGGGTTACGTGGGTTTCTGAGGGCTTCAAATGCAGCCCCACAGACACCCTCAGGGTCAAGCGCACCCTCTTGGGAGCCTGACAGAAGTGGGCTGAAATCCAATTTCTGCCACCTTCTAGCTGAGTGACCTTCAGCAAGTTACTTATCTTCTCTAGAACTTAAGTTTCATCATCTGTAAAAGAAGTGTAAAAATAGAACCTGTTTCATGGAGTTGTTGTGAAGATGGAAAGACATAGTGTATGTGAAGCATTTAGCACCAGCTCTGACACGGGGTGAGGGATTAATAACCGTGAGGAGGACATGCTGTGGGACAATGCCACTTACTCCAAGGGTCCACTGCAGGCCCCAGGCCCTGGTGAACAGTCACAGGGACAGGGAAGAATAATCAGAAGCAGCCAGTCAACCTCTTCACTTCCTCAACTCTCAAAGGAGCCTGCAGACATCCCGTCTTACCTATCCCGTGGGTTTGTGATGGGTACCAAGAGCTCCCCACCCAAAGCAGAGAGGTGCCGCAGACTCCCTCTGGGGGGGGCTGAAGGCAGCCTCCAGACCGTCTCCCACCCCCGCCACCCGCATCCTGGCCTGGCACCCCGCTTCTTATCAGGATTCCACCTCTCAGGTTCCACCTCTCGGCCCAGCCCTTCTCTGGACACCAGCCCGTCTCTCCTGGCCCTGCCTCTGGTGTCAGCAGGGGCTCCACACCCTGTCACCAGCCTGGCCTCGCCTCCCACCAGGTCTGAACTCTGGTCCACAGCCAGGTGTCCCAGTTCCCACCAGATCTGCAGGGGAATTAGAAACATTTTCGCCAAAGAAGTCCCAGAAATGAATTGCTATATTTCCTTTTCCCCTTTGGGGACTGGGGGAGGGGAGTGGCTTTCCCATTTCTAGTCCTTTTTGCCTCCTTCCCTTCCCTTCTATTTTAAGCATTCAAAAACCTGTTTTTAAAAGAAACAAAGGTCCACTTTCCTAGACTGCCCAGGTCAGCAAACAGAAGTGTCTGTTTGAAGAGGGAGGGCTGGACGGGAAGAGGGCCACTGGGCCAGGTCAGGGAGGACGTCAGGCAGGGCACGTGGAGGCTATAAACAGGAAACCCTTTAGCTCTGGGAGCAGATGTTGGAGCCAATTCCCACACAGGTAGCAGTCAGTGAGGTTCACTTCCAGGAACATTTTCACAGAAACCCCGTCCTGTCTGCAGAGCTCCGTAAGCTCCACCAGCACAGGGTGGCGAGGGAGCCGGGGCCCCCCCAGCTGAGGGAAGAGAGGGGAGCTTGGAGCACCAGCTTATGGGGAGGACCCCCTGATGCACCAGCAGATTGTAGTTCTCGAGAAGGGTCAGCAGCCTGCTGCTTCTGTTGGCTTTCTGCCCTGCTGCCAGTGAAACCTGACAGGTCAGTTTCTAGAGCTGGGCTGATTCTCTTTCGCTTCCTGCTTCTCATACCTTCAACTTGAGAGTCTGTGTGGTTCACCTCCTCTGTAGACTGCAAACAAATGGGTCGTTTTGGTCCAAAATGCACAATGAAAGGTCTGGTCTCTTAAAACGAAGCTCACTGATTCTGATACCTGGGAAGTTATTTAAGGAGTCAAAACAACTGAAGTTAGACCCCTTAAGATTCAAGTCTGTGACTTGTCTCTATCCTGAGGACACTTCATTCAATGTGGGAACAATCCCAGCACAGAGGAGCAGAGCATCAGCATCCCCCACCCTGCCCAGCCAGGCCTTGGCAGGACGCAGCAGTTTTGCCTCCTAAGCCTCTGTTTTTATTCACTTTGGAAAAGTAAACAGGTGCCTTTTTCTTCCTTTATTTTTTTTTGTTGTTGTTGTTGTTGTTATAATTCCCCTAAAGAGTATAACACACCTCTTTGCCCTTAGTCAATGCCTACTAAATATTTGGGTGGTTGAATGGAGCAGAGGCAGCTCAGCAGGGCTGGGATTAGGGCACAAATGTCGATCACTCTGCATGGTCATCCAGTCACCCTCCAAGGACGTCCTCATCCTGGTCCCAGACCTGTGGCTCAGCGCTGGTGAGAGAAATCTTCAAGGGGAGATGGTTTACTCAAAGACGGCTGTTTATAGAATGGGGAGGGGTCCCCACCATGGGCACCCGCCTGCCTTACCTTCCTCTTGCCTGGAACGCTCAGGTCTGCCATGTCCAGGGATGTGCCTTGTATGAGCTGGTCACCAGGCCACCAGAAGGCCCATGTTCTCAGGAACTGCACCGACATGTAAGAAAGGGAACTTGAGGGACATCAAAGGCAGATGTCACTGGTGCAAGGCTGTAAGGAATTATTATAATAAATAATGTTAACTAACATATTTTGAGTGCTCACTATGTGCCAATTCCTGTGTCAAGTACTTTATGGCCATTATTTTATATAATCCCCCAACAACTCAGTAAGGGAGAACTTGGACTCTGGAGCCAGACAGCCTTGGTTTAAATCCCATCTTTGCCTCTTTCACGTTATGTGACTTTGGGAAATTTCTTAAGCTCTCTGGGGCTCAGCTTCCTTACCTATAAAATGGGAATAATAATGGTACCCACGTCATAGTACTCTGAGGATTACATCAGGTAATACGTGTGAAACAATGAGACCACCACCTGGCACAAGCATTCAACAAATATTGGCATGATTATTATTATTGTTGTTGTCCCTGGTAGCTTATTCCTTAGGGCTGCCATAACTATATCCCACAAACTGAGTGGCTCAAAATAACAGAAATTTATCAAATGACAATTCTGGAGGCTGGGAGTCCAAGATCAAGGTGTTGGTGGGTTGTTTCCTTCTGAAGGCTGTGAGGGGTGATCTGTTCTACGCCTCTCTCCTAGGTTCTGGTAGCTTCAGGCGCTTCTTGGCTTTGCAAATGGCTGTCTTCTCCCTGTGTCTCATCACCACGTCTTTACTCTGTGTGTGTCTGTCTTTGTGTCCAAATTTCCCCTTTTTGTAAGGACACTAGTCATATTGGTTTAGGCCCTATTCTAATGACCTCATCTTAACTTAATCACCCGTGTAAAGACTTTATCTCCAAATAAGGTCACATTCTTGGGTACTAGGAGTTAGGACTCCAATGTATCTTTTGGGGGGGACATAATTCAACCCCTAACACAAGGTTAAGTTATTTTCTCAAGGTCACAGAGCTTGTTGGTGATGAAACTGGTCCTGGAGCCCGAGATTATTTGATGACAAATCCCATGACATAAACCCCAGTGGAAAGCCCCAACTCTGCTAAGCCTTCTATGGGGAGAAGGAACCAAAGAGAAACATGGAGAGCCAGCCACTGTTGTGTTGATGGCATTTTCCCTTTCTTCTCCCTTCCACCATAGCCTGCCTGCTCCAGGCTGAGCTGGTAAACTATGAACGAGTCAAGGAATATTGCCTCAAAGTCCTGAAGAAGGAAGGGGAGAACTTCAAGGCCCTTTACCGATCTGGTGTGGCTTTCTACCACCTGGGGGACTATGACAAAGCACTCTACTACCTGAAAGAAGCAAGGACTCGACAACCCACAGGTAAGGCAGCAACTGCTGCTTTCTTACTATCATCCCTCTCCAGCAGCTCCTGGGGCCTTGTTGCAGCAGACAGCTTTCACAGCTGGCAGGGCCAGGCAGGACAGAGATGGCAAGTTAGGGGTCAGGTGTGTGCTAGGACCCAGAGTAAGAAGAGCACATAGTCCATGCATTTGCCTAGGGTCTCAGTTCCAGGGGGCATGGGCACCTCTTCTCTGCAACTAGAGTACAGAATTCTTCATCTTTTCCAACTCAGAATCCAGCTCTCTTCACTTAGTCAATCAATACCTACTGAATTCTTACTATGTGCCAAGATGTACGCTGGGCATCAGGAATGTCAGTGAGAAGGCACGGTCCCCACCCACGAGGAGCTCACATCTGGTTGGCAAGACAGAATACAAGCAGGCAATTTTGACGCTAAGCCCAGCATCTTTCAGGAAGCATGCTCTGACTTCTCCAGTCTGGTGCTATTCCTGGGAGCATGTGTCTTCTGTACCATTAACTTAGATCATATACCCTTGCTCACCCAATCATTCATTCATTCATCCCACAGATATTTATTGAGAGGGCACAATGGAGCTAAGTACAGAGTAGTGAACAAAAGAAAGGTTTTGCCTTCCAAGAGCTTATATTATAATGGTTTAGTGTCTGATAATGCAAGTGGGAAGAAAGCGGGGGGACAGAAGGGACTCTCTACCAGGGGTTGCCTGGAAGTTGCCAGTAAACAAGCAAATGGACAGCAAACCAATGTAGTGTTTAGTAGTAGTGAGTGCTATGAAGAAAATGAAGCAGAGTAACGGGATCAAGTGTAAAGGGATTGCTATTTTAGACCAGGTGTTCAGAAAGAGCCTCTCTGAGGAAGGAACATTTAAATAATCACTTTGACTTAATGTTGCCATTGTTGTTGTTCATATCGTTAATTTTTTTTCAATTCAATCCTCCTTCCAAGAAGTCTTAAGAACTTTAGGATCAATGTGCAAATGTCCAACTATCTACTTTTTTTAATCTTTTTTAAGAACACCAGTATCTATTTTTATGTGTTGTTGGTTTTTTTTCTGTATATAAATTGTGTTCCACCGAAACGTATTGCAAGCACCTTGAAGACTAAGAACTGGAGTCATTCCACAGAATTTCTTGAGCGCCCACTGTATGCCAGCACTGTTCCGGATGCTATGCCTGGCATTTCGAGCTTGATCCAGTATTCATTTCTACTGCCGGAAATAATATTCAGAACAGCTCTGCAATTCTTATGTTCTGCTGTGTACAGTGCAAAGCAATTGTTCCATGTGTTGCCCTCCTAACTAATTTAGAAACAGGAATTGGGCGGAAATGCCCAGCTTTTGGTGAGGCAGTCACCTGACCCTACTTATAAGGACAAAAATAAGACACGGAAAGCAAAGTCATTTTAAACTCTTTAAGTTTAAACAAATTACATTCAATTAGTATTTCTTGATCATTGTATTAAGCACTTTAGACTTATCTATTCTCATCCTCACAGTAAGTTTAGGAGGAGGGAGTTGCCATCACCAGGAGAGGCAGGCTTTGGAGTTGGACACACCACTTACTATGTGTCTCCTTGGGCATCTCACTTAACTCCCCAGGTCCCAGTCTTTCCTTTCGTCACAGTGAGGTTGAGGACACATACCTTGCAGGATTGTAGTGAGGACTAAATAAGGTAGTGAAGATTAAAAACCTAGAGCAAAGTAGGCATTCAAAAATGGAGGTTGTTTCTTGCAAATGAGACAGGAGGCTGGAGAAGTCGGTGCCTTGCCTGAGGATAAACTCCAAGCGGAGTGTCAGCTAACCCTGCTGACTTGGGGACCACTGGGTTTTGCTGCGCAGAAATAAGAGGAGAAATTCTCTCTCCTCTCCCTCCCGTCTGTCCCCTGGGTCATGGCAACCTGTCTGCATTTGCTAAGGGGAGGCAGTGCAGGAGAGGGCCGGCGTCTGGTTGCCGTCTCAGCCACCACAGATAGGCAGGAGGGACCTTGGCTGAATGAGTCTGGCCTGTCCATTACCTGCAGAGCCAGCTTGTGCCCAATTCTGTGTAGACACAAGAGTTGCCCTGAGCAGGTGCTCCCTAAGGTACATTTCTCTCCTCACAGACACCAACGTGATTCGGTACATCCAGCTGACGGAGATGAAGCTCAGCAGATGCTCCCAGAGAGAGAAAGAAGCCATGTAACTGGGAAGCCTCTCCAGAGCTGCACCCACTGCTGACTGGGGACGTCCAGGCACCCCTGCTGGAGAGCCCCTCCCTGGGTCCTGTTCCTTTCTCCCCACTTCTTACAGCTCTCCTTTTTTCCTGCCGTTGCACCCCAACTCTTTCCCAGTGCGAAAGGAAGGAGAAATGCATATTTGGAATCTGGCGGGTTGCCCAGACAATGGAAACATCCTCTTCTCTAGCAATTCGGCAACTGAGAGGGGCCTAACTTCTGCTGGGACAGCTGCAGAAGGTCTCACAGGCTGGGAACTCCGTGGCTTTGACTTTGGCCAGTGCTTCTGACAGAGTTAGAGCCTGGCAGGTGTATCATCCCAAAAGCAGCTGGCACAGAGCCCAGGGTCTGGACCCTTCCACACCTTCCTGACAGACCCAGAGCATCTCAAGGCAACTGTTACAAATCCAGGGATGAGACAAACACCAGAAGCAACGGTACAGCCAACATAGAGACCGTGAATTTATACACTGGAGTCCCCCACGTCCCCGTCACCTTGGCCCTGCCTCCCTCCCTCCCTTATTGTCTTGGTTTGTGCTTTCTTCTCGCCTCCTGGGGGATCTGAGGCTGCCAGGATTCACATGCCACTGAAGCCCACGCTCAGTGCCCTCTGGTGACCGCACATACCATTCCCCATCCTCCCACCCAGCAGGCACCTGTGACCACAGAAAGACAGGGCTAAGTGGGCCAAGTTTTGGGGCAGGGCAGCCATGCAGGTGACAGGGCAGGGAAAGATGACGCCCGGGGGAAAGAGCATTGTATAGGCTGGGGGATTGAACTGTGGACTAATTAAGTGTAAATAAAGGTAAATTAACAGGTAGCAGTTCCTGTGATTTCTGTAGGAAGCAGCCCACACCCTCACTCTTACTCTGTCCCAAACCCTCAATCAGAGCTTCTTATAGCCAGGCAGGATGGGACTTCCCCCAAAGCAACTGGCCATTTGTCCAGTGGCATACAATGTGGGCTGCAGCCTTTGTGCTGTTAAGAGTGGGCTGGGATTGTGGAGACTGCCCAAGGGCTTGGCTTTCTGGGAATTTGTACAACCTCTTTTTGATGAAATTATCTGGACTCAATATCTAGCGCATTGAATATGTTCAACAAATATTTGTTGAATGAATAAGTTATGACTGCAGACTGGCTCTCCTGCCTTAAACTAATTTCATCCCAGCCTAGTCTCCTGGTATCTGTGCTCTTTATGCTATGCCATATTGCTTCAGTCCAAACAAGAGGGCTTCTCATTTGCCCACCGTTTGTGCAATACACTGTGGGGCACAGGATGTAGTCCCGGTCTTCGAGGAGATGGAAGAGTCGAGAAATGCAGATGAGATTATTACCAATGACACCTTTAATTTATATGATGCTTTAAAATTTTCAAAGCACTTTCATGTATTTTTCGTGTGATTAGTGGAAAAGACAATATTGTACAAAATTAAAATATATACAGATGCAATAATGTTCATAGTTAGGATTTATTAAATGCACTATGTTCAGATCTTTACATGTATAATCTCAGTTCTTTCATGAAATTACTCTGTGAGATACTAGTCCCATGTGATGGACAAGAAAATGGAAAACCTGAACAATTAACTGTGTCAAGGTTGCATGGCCCTAAGTGGCATAGCTAGGATTTGAACCAGCTCTGTCTGGCTCCAGAGCTCCAGCTACTAACTATTCTATGCTTACTTGCCTCTCTGTATTATATTGGGCACTTACAACCATTCAAGAGCAGGACAATATGCATTAACTTGAAAAGTGTTCACCATGTCAGTGGTGGTGCATGGGCCTCCTCTTGTATTTACTCAAGGCCAAAAAAAGACCAGAGACTAGAATCCCTCGTGGTCAGAGCAGTGACCAGCCAGGAAAAGATAACCGAGACCCAATTTCTGTGCATGGTTCATTCCACTTGCTGATGGAGCCCGCACATATCCTAACAACTCACTTAACATTCCTCATCCCATCTCTGGCATCCGGGAAGGGTCACAACTAAAGGTAGAGACTGAAACATAGAGTTAATTATGGGTTATTTGTTTAAGCAGAGGCTCCACCACCACAGATCCAATCACTGTCAAGGGGCCCAGAAGCCAGCAGCACAGTTTATATTCACATAGCTCCCCAAAGGCTTGCAAGGAGCACTGCAGGAAGGTGCTAGAGATATTCAGGGGCCCACAGTTGCTCACCCTCTGGAGAAGAAGAAAAGGAAAAAGCTGTTTTGGCTGCCACGTTCTCCTTCACCCCTACCATATCCCTCTGCCCTCTTCTTCCAAAATGGCCTCACTTGACCTTAACCCGAAGCTCCCCTGAGGCCTGCAGTAGGCATATGTGCAAAACTCTCCTATTTCCAAGCCTCTAGCCCAGAAGGTTTGTGAGTTGACAATCTTCATCTGAAGATGAAGATGAGGTCAGAGGTGGCCTGCGGAACCAGTTCAAACAGACAGGGTCTTTCTTTGGTCTTCATGCATCAGGAAGGACTCAGAGTAATTATTCCCAAGATGGAGGCAGGAGAGAGATCTTACCTAAATGAGTGTGTTGGAGCAGGCTGGACAGACAACTGGGGATACAGCTGTTGCCATCCCAACAAAAAGGCTGAAAAACAAAACTAGGTGAGGACAACCTCTAGGAACCTCCTAGAATGAGTGTACAGGCCATCTGCTTGTCTGGTCACTTAGACACACATGTTTATTGGAACTCCATTCACTGTGACCTGGAGTTAAATGATCCCAAAGAAAAAAGCTACCTGGGGTATTCGTTGCTGTGTGGGGTGGCAGAGCTGAATTTTCTGTGCATTTGTCCAACAGAGACTTCAGAGAGCTCTTAAGCAAAATGAGGTTCATTCACCTTACCAAATCTTTGACTTCCTTCTCCCCACCCCTCCTCAAAACAAGGACTGTGATTTACTTACACACTTTGTGGATATCACTGCTGAACTATGTATAGACGGGTACTAACGTGGATCTATCCAACCTGCATTGTCGTCTCCTGCCTGGACTTCTGTGATAGACTGTTTGGGGAAAAACTTAACTTTTTGTCTATGAAAGCATCACATGTGTATTGTAGAAATTTCAGATAAAAAGAAGAAGGAAAAAAAAGGACAAAATCCAATCCAATTCCATCCATAATCATACCCCCCAAGACAAACATGTTTATCCTTTCGAATATACCTTTTAGTTCCTTTTGGTATAAATGTACACATGTACATGCACACACACAGTTGTGGGTTTTTTTAAACAAAAACTGGATCATTGATGTATATAGTCTTTAATAACTTACTTTTCACAATGTGTATTTATATTTTAGAATATGTAATACATACACAGATAAAAAATTCAGAAAGTACAAAATGTTCTATAGTCAGAAGTAAATCTCCTTCCCACCCGTCTGCTAGCATCTAGTTTCCCTCTAATTTCTCATATGTCCTGGGGATGCTTACACATTTTCAAATGTATGTATATATATTCTTTTATCACACACAAATGGTAGCATATTGGACACTTTTTTTGCTTTTTCTGTTTCTTCACTTAATATATCATGAACATTTTCTGCACGTCTCTCTAACTTTTCCAACAGCATCTTCATTACATGGGTGGACCCCCATTTTGCAATCTTTCCCCAAATAATGATTATTTGTTCACATCTTTGTTGTAAATAATGTTGCAAAAGACATTCTTGTAGCTAAATTTTGCACACATCTATGACTATTTCCTTAGGGTAAAATCCAAGAAGGAATTGCTTGGCTATTTTTAAGAATTTTGATACATGTTGCCAACTCCCCTCCAGAAAGTTTGTATCAAAACATTCTCCTTATTTACATCCTTGTGGGTGCCCTGTTCCCTGCACCCTGCCTAACACTGGGTATTATTGCTTATCAAATCTTTACCAATTTGATAGTCAAAATAATAGTATGTCAATGTCACTTTAACTTGTTATTTTAACTTTCTTGGATTATTAGTGAGTAACATTTTCATATGCTTATTGACCATCTGAACTTTCTTCCTTGTGAATTTTCTATTTATTTGATATTGGTATGTTTATCTTTATTATCAATTTGTAATTTTGTTAAGAATATTATTTTTGTCAAGAAATGCTGCAAATATGCTTTCCAAGTGCTTTGCTTTCAAATTTTGTTTATGGTGCTTTTTGACATACATAAATTCTTAATTCTGCAACTCATTTGTTCCTCTGTTGCCAGCTTCTCCTGCCTACCGTTCATCCTCTCATTTCTGTCATAACGACCTTTCTAAAACACAATATGATCATGTCATCCTACAACTTATAAATCTTTAGTGGCTCCTCATCACCTTTAGGATAAAGACCAGACTCCTTAGCAAAACACGCAAGGTCTTTTGTGTATTTTCTCCAATGGATTTTTCCAGACTCACCTACTGGCCCTTTCCCAAGGTATCCTATATTCCACTGCTGCGCAGCTTCTTGTGATGCCCTGAACCATTGTGCTGGGTCTCTCTGGGCCTTTCCACGTTGTTCCCTCTGCCTCATTGGCCATTCCTCGCCCCTTCAACCCTCTCTCTGTACCTTGCCAACTCCTACAGGCCTTGGCCTGGGATCACTGCTAGAAAGCCTTCCCTGGTCTGAACTCTTAAAGCAACACAAGCCTACCTCTGCCTAGCATTTGCTACAACATATTGGAATTTCCAGTTTACTTTCATCTACCCCACTACCTGGATGTTCCTCAAGGCAGGCACTGTGGTTTATTCACCTTTGTAGCCAAAATGTCTAACGCAATGCCTGGCACATTGTAGGTACTCAAAAAATGTTGAGCACTGAGCCTAGAATGAATGATTAATGGACTCAGTGGCAAATGTTACTGGGGGTAAGTGCAGGGCTGGACTGCATCTGTGCTTCGGAGAAATGAAGACCTCCTTGGAGACTTAGGTCAGAAGAGAAGCTGCATGTTCCAGCCCTGACCTTTCCAAGACATCGGAATCACTTGGAAGAGCTTTTTAAAAATACATAATCTCAGGCTCTGCTTCAGACCCACTGACGGGGACTCATGGGGACAATGCTCAGGGTACTCTAGTTCTTGAACATCCTGAGGTGTTTCTGACCAGCCAGGTTAAGGGGCCACTATGAGGTCGACCAGCAGACAGACTTCAGAGTGCCTGGCTCCATTATTTCAAACCACGTGACCTTTTAGAGTAGACTAGTTAGAGCTTGGTTTGAATACCAGCCTTGACATCTACCAGCTGCGTGACCCTGGGGCAGTTGCTTAGCTTTTCAGACCCTCGTTTTCCTCACCTATGCATGGAGATAATGTTATAGCCCTTGAAAGGGTGCTGAGAGGATTAAGAAATGACTGTCTCCCAGTTCAGTGCATGGTAGAGGGTAAGCACAGAGGAAACAGTGATTTCCTTCCCCCAACCCTCCTCAGCCTCAGTTTCCTCATTTACAGTATGGCTGCTAATACCTTCCGCATTCCCACTCTCTGCACTCTGGAAGGAACGGAGCCTTCCCACAGGCCCTTGGGTTACCCTTGATCAAATAGGACAGGTGCTTGCAGGGCATGGGAGTGTAGGGAGACAGAGAAAGCTTCATACTCCACCCCATCCCCCTCTCCAGGCATATCGGAGACTACACAGCAATCAACTGGACTAATTCTGGTGGTCCTCAGAACCAAGTGTCTTCAAGTCACATCCAAAGATTAACACAGTTTTCTCCCTGACAATCCACCTAGAGGCCAGCAGCCTCTGAGCTGCAAGAAGGCAATTGTCAGGAAACAGAATGGCTATCACCTGTTCTCCTTCCAATGCCCTTGGTCTCCTCCTCTGAGCACTTGCCTCAGAGCAGGAAAGACAAGATTGGTTACATAGCTGCTCTGCAGCTGCCTTCATTAAGATGCCCCACTCCCTGTCCCTAATGCCTGCACTCTCTCTCCCCACCAGCCCAGGGTGGGCAGCGGAGGCAGGGAAAATGCATTCAGTCCATCAAGCGTGGCATAGTTCAAATTACCGAGTCAGCATGAAAAGTCCCCCTCTAAATGGACTGCAATTGGATTCTATTAAAAACCACACTCAGCGAGGCCCTTGACTGTTAATATTTGCTAAGACATGAAGGAGGGAGAGGAGGCGGAGGCCCTCGAAAAAGGCTGGGATCTCACTGCTCCACTGCATTGCCTGTCTGGAAGGGAGCCTACATTTGAAACCTAGACTTACCTTAATAGGGCTGGACAGGAGCTCAAAGCTCAATAGTTCAACCCTCTTACAGATGAGGGATCAAGTCCAGAGAAGGTTAAGTGAGTTATTCACGGTCACACTAAGCAAAAAAGCCAGAACTGGAACTCGGGTCAGTTTCCTGCAAACTTAATACTCTTTCCACTAAACTAAAACACATGCACAAAAGCACCTATGTCTTAAAATATATATGTATATATGTTCAATGCTGTAAAATTATTCTCTTCTCAAGAAATAAGGAACACGGTACCCATTCACTCATTCGCTCAGTCAGTATTTATCATTCTGGTCCCTGCAGTAGGTGGTTCAATGGTTA